CATCCCCGCCCATCTTGGGCCTGGCAGCCATCTTGGATTCGCCCAGGAGTCTGACTGTGACAGCCATCTTGGATTTAGAGGCCATCTTGGATTCCCCCATCAGCTTCGGCCTCGCAGCCATGCCGGATCCTACCGACAACCGGCGCTCAGAGGCCCTGTTGGGCTGGGCCGCCGCGGCCTCCGTCCCCGCCGCGGCCTCGCCCGGCCCTTTGGGGTAGAGTATTCGGTCAGCCGGGATGCAAAACGGGAGGTTGTTAGTCGGCTGCATAGAACGGAGCATTCGGTCGAGTCCATCTAAGGCGCCTGGAAGTGGCTCGCTCCGCACCCTCAGCCAGGTGAGACTGACCCACTTCCAGCTGCTTGGCCCCCGACAGGCCTGCTCATCCTCCCCTAGACTTTGATTCACTGGTCGCTTCCCCCTCCTGGGGCTCACATGCAGGCCTTTGGAGCAGCCCCCCACAAAAGTCACATGCCCTTATTCCCACCACCTGAACACTGGTGCCACACACAGGGAAACTGAGGCACGTGCAGCATTCATGCAAGGCAGTCACGCTCCCGTAGGTTCATATACAAAATAACAAGGGAAAATCCCCTTTGTCGCCCCCCCATAGCTGGAGATCACCCCTCAGCGCCGTGCCCCGCCCGTCAGAGCAAGGGTTCAGTGGGGCGCTGGGAGAGCGGCTGCGGGTCGTGCTCCCTGAACGTGAGGGGCTTCAGGAGATCAGGCCGTGTAGACAGACGGTGCCCAGGGGATTGGCTCCCACCTGGCCATAGGCTCCCGGAACGAGAACTCGGGCTGGGCATGCAGAGCAGAGAGGAGGCACCCCAGGAAGTGAGGCCCAAAAGTTAGAGCGGGACAGAACCCTGCAGCCCTCTGACGGCACCTCTGCCCTATTGAACCCTGGGAGGTGCCCGGGCAGTTATCTGGGAACTCCCCAAATGTCTGGCCTGCTGGGCCCCCCCCTTCTTTTCTGACCTCTGACCCCAGCCTGGCATCACCCCTGATGTCCAGCATCTGACCCCCGCCTGGTATCACCTCTGACCTCTGACCCTCACCCCAGCCTGGTGTCACCTCTACCCTCCAATCTCTGACCCCAGCCTGACTCTGTCCTGATTCTTGCTTCTGAACCTGGCTCTGGTGACCCCCCGGCCCTGCTCACTGGCCGCCGTGCTCCCTTCGCGGCCCCAGCGACACTGGGACTAGTGGGAGCGGTGCAGGGACCAGGCTACGATGGGGGATGGCAGCCTGGGGCTTTCCTACATCCAGAGGGGATGTTCTCTAAGAGCCCTTGTTCCAAAAGCAATTTCGTTCCGGGCAGGGCTGCGGCCCCGGTTGCGTGGGAGGCCGGATTCGGCCACAAGCTCCCTGTCTGGCCTTGGAATGTAGGAATCGGGTTGTGCTGCAGCCTAGGAGATTAGCTTCCAAGTGTTACCCCCAAACCAGGTTCTGGGGTGCCCACACAAGAGCCCGCCTAATTCCCCCTTAATCTGCTCTCCCTGGCTCCGCAGGGGTGGCCGAAGACCACGTGGAGGCCACGGACACAACCCTCTGATTGTCACAGGGCTCCTTCTATGGATACCCGTGTGGCACTGCCTGCAAGGCGGGAGAGACTTTACCGGGACCCTCCGGAGAGCGATATTACCCAACGGCAGCGCCTCGTGCCAGAGAGGCGCCGGCGGGTGGGCGTGGGAAAGTTCCAAGGCGCTAGGTGTGCGCATCCCGTTGGTAGCCACGCGCCGCCTTAGTCCTGTGCGTTAGAAACAGGCGCGGCGTGTGCGAGTGTCAGACCTGTGCTGGGCGCCGGGGTGATCTCCCCAGGCCTGTTGGCATCGAGGGACGCCCGTCGCTCCCAGAGCCCCCTGAGAAAAGCCGCGTCGCCCTAGGCGTCCGGGGGACATGGCAAGGCCAGCTGGTGGGCAGGGGGCTCCCGTGTGCTGCGAGCTGGTGTTTGGGGCCACGGCCGGACAAGCCACATGGCAAAGAATCTCACAAGGCAGCTGAATCTTCTCCGGGTTGTCTTCCCTCCAGCTTCCCCTCTCC